GGTTATATCTGCGCGTTTACTTTTCCCTTACTTAACTTCCCCCGTGAGTTTGCCTTGCTCACGTTTTGCTGTTTCCAACTATGTTCCTTTCACCCATAAGCTGATAGTGCGGTGCTAGCTACGCGCTCGTCAGACCAGACAACCGCCGCCCTTTCCGCACCTGACTTCGCTCTCTGCGCATGGGTGTTGGCGGGGCGCAATCAAGTGGCAAAAGGTCGACGCAAGACCGCTTCAACGAGTGTGCAGCTTCCACCGCACTGTCAGCGTAGAGGTGAACTGAACACGAAGCATACAGAAATCACCTTTACCCACGAAGGACAAGGCGACTCGTGAGAAGTTATGGGCTCCTTGGCAAGATATTTAGGATTATCTCCCGACTCCTGGGGACAGGTTTTAAAATGTGTTGATCTTCGTAGTGCCGTACCCTCCACACTGTGGCCTGGAACGGTCCCCGATTACTATTCCCGTGAATCCATACTGATTAGAGTTTCGTGAACCGTGGCCTTCCAGTTATGTCTTCACTCGAAAGCTTTTCTTCATTCGCTTCACCTTTCGACCCTGTCTCACTCACGATTCCCGCGTCACATGTTTCGTTCTCATATGGGCATCGGAAGAAAGTAAATACGAAAGTAATGAGTAATTTCTTTCTCAGAATCACTGCCTGAAATAAATTTCCTGCATTACTATATTACCGACATTGATAAATAGTCAATTACATCACTCTTTACAGCAAAAAGTAAATTAATTACAGTAGTTTCATACAGTAATGTCACTACTGACATCCCTAAATCCTGGGACAGTGATCGACAGGCGGCTGAAAGCGCGAACTTGACAGTTTCGGAAGCGATACAAAATCTAACCCCCCTTCCCTCCCCCCAAAAACTTTTTTAGGCGATTTAGTATGATGTTAGAAGACTACCCAATCAATATTTTGCTGCAGAATAACGTAGATTTTTCATAGAGTCAAAAACGCAACTGCTCCAAACCGAAACCAAAACATGTGCACGGAGGCTCGAAGGAAATATTTCCAAAACTCACGTGCCTCTCGCACCCTACCAAGATTTTTTTTTTTTTTTCCGTTTCTCTGTTTTTTAGACGACGACAATGAGGACGTTGCGTGAACCGTTTGTCATGGGATTGCTTCGCAATAACTTCCCTTTCCATCGCTGTTCTGTGCTCGAAGATCCACTAGCCGGTACCACGAATCACAGTTCCGAAATAGCGGTCTCCTGTCCGTCGAGTGTGGCCGTCGCATCGTCGAGCCCGCGCTGCATGTCGCCCTATTGAGAAGGATCTGTTCATCTATCTCCTGTAATCTGTGCAACAGCGTTTTTAAATCAACGCATTTGACGCATTTGCAGCTTTTTGGAAGACACAAAAAATGAGTTTAATATATATATTTTTTTATTGAAAATATACCTTAGATGGCCCACGACTTTCAATATATTCGGTACGCATCAGTTTGGACGCAAGTGCCCGTGGAAAAGAGTGAGCGTGCTAAAAACAAGCCAATTCTCGACCTGCGGTTTTGGGCGGAAATAATACGAGTTTCGAGCCACTAATTCTGTTCTGTGTAGTTAGGCTCTCATAGGTCATGTTTACATATAAACATGGGCTTGCTTAAGTACACTGTCGCTGTTCCTTTAAGGAGGTTTGCACTTCATCACCCACTAAGCGAATTTCACCGCAGAAAGATGAGTTTGAACAACGTACGAGAGTACTGATTTTGTAGGAAGTTTATTACGACAACATAATAAAGGTCGCACAGCCCTTAGATTTAGCTTTCAGAGCGCACGCTATTTTTAATAACATACGCAGAAGTGGGAGGGGGGGGGGGGGGGGGTTCAGGGTTTTACTTCCGAAGTTGATAGTCTGAAAGCACTCTTAATTTGAAAGTTTGCAGATATTTCTCAGACTGGCGTGAAATGTAAAATGTAAGACCTAAGTTCAGGAAAGCGAAACTACACATCTGGGGAAACGAAAATCCCGGGAGACATCGCAGCTACCCCAAGTTACACTCCGCGACATGTGGAACTGTGGGACTCTTCCGATGTACTTTTGGGTCGACGCGGACGTTGCGTATATCCTGGAAGCTTCACAAGTCGTGCCCTCTTGTCATTGTGAGTTTAGAACTCACAAAATATAAAACGAATGCGAAGCGAAGTCATTCTTTTTCCCATTTGCCTTCTTTGCGTTCTGAAATCTTAAAATGATAGGCAAACGTCAACTTCGTCTTCGATTTCCCGATAATCTTTCATGCACCGCACAACGGATCTTTATAGTGCACCAGGCCGACCAGTATGGGCAACACATATTTCTGAAAAAAGTGTACTGCCCACCAGTCACATCACTGGTGTGCAGACCCCCGCACCGTTGCTCTCCCGGCATGCACCATAGTTCTTTCGATTAAGTCTTCCTAGGAAGTGGACACAGATGTATGCATTGCTTATTTGCAACTCCAACGCTCCATAGGTGGCGAGGCGGTAGTTCCAAGATGGCGGAAGAGACGGGGATAGATTCTTCAGGATATCCCGTGCGCCTGCTCGCTGACGCTGTTTAGCGCGCTAAAAATGATTTATTTGTCTACAAATGAGAAGCGGTTAGGGAGGGATCATATTGCAGGTGACGGAGATGCTGATGCACGTTAGGAAAACGGGCATGCTGATATTTAAAAGTTGCAGAAACCCCAAATTACGAAGGTTTGTGGTGGGCGAGCGCGTTTTAGGCACCGGCCACATTACTGCTTGTGGCAGAATATTTTTGAGGGTGATGAATCAATCATGTCTGCGCTTTGCCTGGCGATTCGTGCTCTAAAAAGTGAGCCGCGAACGGTGACCGTCAAGCTTCGGAAGAGCAGCGTTCACAGTATTGGTGTCTCTGCGTCACATGCTCACAGCTCGCTGCTCACCGTCTTGGCTTTAGTGTATTGCCACATGTGATCAAGCTGCTCTATAGTTATATATAGAAAGTTTGTTACCGCAGGCTACCGTGCGGTGTAGCATTACAGCCGGAAGCTCGCGCTGCGCCTTTGAAGCACAATTTTCAGTACGCGTCAGGAGCGTTGCCGTGCTCATCACTCTAAAAAAAAGGTTTTAGTCCTTACACCTGTTGTCACATTTACGGCATTCCAAAACTTCAGTTAGGCGTGCAGCGCACTGGCGTCAAACTGACGGCAACAACTTTTATGAAAGGCTTGATGACGGCGCAATATAAGACATTAAACACTTAAAGTACGCATCAAAGATCACAAAAAAAAAAAAAAAACACCGAGGATTTCAGTAGGGCCAAGAAAACACCGATCACATTTTTTTTTACAGTCATTTACACTTACTTAGGCTATTTTATTAAGTTGTACAAGTCGCCGCCATCAAGCCGCTCGTGAAAGCTGGTAGCGTCGGTTTAACGGCTGTGCGCTGTACGCCCTACTGAAGTTTATGGGTGTCGTACGCTATGCAAACACTGTCTATTCAATTAATCGGCGTGTTTAAGGTGTTTTTTTATCGCTCTGTGAAAGATCAATATTTTAATATACCGTACATTTTTTGTACTGTGTTTTTTGCAACGTTGCGGTCCCTCTGGCCAAAAACTGTGCGTTCTAAGCCCTCGCCCCGAATGGCTGGCTAACACAGACGCGCTGAAAATGCTTAGAGCATTTCTTTATTTGCTTTGTAATTACCTGAAAGCAAGTACGGCTATTCTGTCTTTTTGAAGTGCTTGGAATAAATGGCCATGTTCCTTGTAACAGCTTTAAAACGCGAAGCCATTCCCGATTTGTATTGCTCAACATACCGTTGCACGAAGAGTTTTCTCCTACTTATGGCAAGGAATAGATTATTTCGTAGACCGTACTATAGAGTTCTTCGTTATTATAGGGAGCGTTTGCCCTCACGTTGAGCACAGATTCATCTGGGGGCCATGCACAAGACCAGAAATCCACAGCCTATGCGATACACGAAAAAGTACTAACGAAATTAGACATCCCGGTGCTTGGTACAACGTTGTTGCAAGGCGGAGCACAATAATTCCTATTTTAACGCGCTCACTTTTTTTCGTTAAAACGGCTTCACGCATCAAAGCCGACAGTCCCTGCCACCGTTTCCACGCCGCCGCCGCCGCCGCCGCTGCCGTCCCCGCTCCTCTGGTTCTCCGTTCGTCCGCGAGAGGGCGAGCGGCAGGCTGGAGTTGCGAATGCGAAAAATCGCGTAATTTAAGGTTTCCATCTCTGTTCTGAAGTCAAGCGATCATTCAGAAGTATACGGCATATGCTATGATGTTGTACAGCTACCCTATGTACTAGATTACTTAGCTTTTTGCAACCCATTTTTCGCTTCCGAATTACCATCCTTTTTATTATCGTTATCATTATTATTATTGGTAGAGTTTTTGTTATTTTTATTGTTACTATTATTATTATTATTATTATTTTATTAACAATAATGATGATAATAATAATAATAATATTGTTATTATTTCATTTTAGAGCCACGTTATATTGGTTACGGAAGAAGGCAGCAATAACTTTTAAAAGATAGCATGCCTGTTTTATATTTGGGTCTTTTCTTTCGCAACTAAGTACAAGCTTTTTGAACATGTGACTCAGGAGTCTTCATCATAAAAGTTTTTGAGATATATGTTTCAATAAAAGTTTTACGGTAAAAGCTGGAAAAGCAAAACGGGATGCCCCGAAATATTTAAGGCTTTGAACCTTTTAGTTCACCACAAGTTGCCGCACTTTCGAGAGGTTTTCTTTCCGCGAACTATACTGATTGAATGGCGTAACACTTCCATTAGGCAGAGGTTATAAAACCCCAATTATAAACAAAAGATAAATCTGAGCCCCCAAACCCACCCTCAATGACCACTGAATAACACCATGTCAATACAGCAAGCCATTAACACAGGGGTCTAAAGTATTAGCATATTTGTTAGTTCCATCGCACACATGGGACAGCCATATGCACAGCACACCATATTTTTGTGAAAACTATTACCAATTTCAGGTCCAGTATCAAGGAGCGGATGATCCCGAAGATTTGTTAGCCGAGATCGATTCGCTGAGCGTGGCATACAAAGCTTTCCTAGAGCTTCCCGCGGACAAGAGAAGCGTGGTGCTGCCAGGACTACAGTTCAGCTCAAGCCAGATTTTCTTCGTGGCTCACTGCGCCAAGATGTGCGAGCTGAGTGAGGGCATTGAGCACGGCCGCCTGACTTCCCGCACCAAGTGCGTCGTGCCCCTCAGGCACGAACCAAACTTCGCTCATGCCTTCAAGTGCTACGCCGGCTCTCGCATGAATCCGGAACAGAAATGTTCGGTGTGGTGAACGGCTCAAGGTCCGCCATTTCTATGATACTGTAATAATGGAAGCGAAATCAAATATATATATTTGACCGACTTTCGGCCAACACCTGGATGACTCAGAATCGGTCACTTTGTGCAACGGCATCTTCTCAAATTGACCTATAACTTCGGGTAGGTACCACAGTAATAGAACTCAAAGCACCTTTGAAGCCCATTGGCCAGTGTTCCGGTTTCGATCTGCCAGCCTCATTTCAAGACATCCCGTTACGACCAAATGCAGTGCTTGCGTTTACTAATATCTGCCTTTCCTGAAATTTATAATACTCTAGGCGTTTCATGCAGCAATAAGGAGAGAATGCGGAGGCACGTTTGTGTTGGTCTCCCGAGGTGCAAGAATTTGTGCACAGGTAAACACGGGAGAGCGGTAGCACATAGAAAAGGAAGAAGTAAGCTGGGCCGATCATTCCGTTCCATTGTCTTATCAATGTCCTTGGTTTCCTGCATTAGACGTGAGCCGAGAGGGTCATGCTGTGGTGCTCTGCACACTGGAGTGGTAGCCAATCCGTCAGAGAGATATTGGTCGCGGGCGACCATGCCGCTACTCGCTGAGTGTTGGTAGGTCCTTACCGCCGTCGGAGGTCCGTATATTATTGGGGCTCTCAGGAATAGGTGCAATGCAAGTCAACGCTGACTTTAGTATCATGTGGATCGCATATGCGTGCACTACTTCGTAAACGGGGCGATCGAAACCGAAACCATACCACTCCACTTAATAGACGAATGGGTCTTAAAATGCAGCGGGCACCATGTTGGGTGCAGGTATGTTTGTGAGTACCGGTAGTCTCTTAATTTGGCCTCATGTTGAATGTTTTTTTTTTTTTGCTTGCCCTAGATATTTGTTGTTGCTGTTGTTTTTGTTTGCTACCTAACGTATGTATTCAAGCAAATATGAATTAAACGGAATACATTTTATGCTTTTTTACACCGGAGTTTAATTATTGCTAGTGGCTTCGCGTGTATATAAAACAAACATGTGGGAACCACATTATTGCACCAGTTGTGTAATAAATACAATTAGTTTATCATTTTTCTGCGCTGCTTCTCATTTTTGTCGACGATGCTGACTTTTTGTTATCATTCAATAAATACAAAAACAAAATAAAGCTCATGTGTATAGACGATAAGGTTGGCTTTGATTAGAAAACGAATCGGTGTTTCTTCCTATTTACAATTAAATATGTATAATGTCTTGGTACCTGCATTATTAGACTTTATTTTTTTTCCAAATTCTTTATTTTTATTGCTTTTCGGTTCAGCTCTCTTCTGCATTCAGGGTATATATATAGGTATGCTGCAACGATTAGTACTAGGTTTTTGTGCTTCGATTATAAGTAAATATTTATAAAGAATTTCACAATTATCTATTTGATATATGGGTTGACACTATATTTGTTTGGTTTTAAAGGATTGTGGAGTATTTTTCTCCTATAAAGTGGAGCATATTGATGACCGATTAGTGGTGCTCGAAACTAACAGCATCTAGTCAGCTTTTGGCCTACTGCTGGGTGCTTAAATCATATTCAACATCAAGTACCCAGAGGGAGGAGCACACGCGTTTGAGTTTCTTCAAAGGATCTGTCCTTTCATAACTTCCTAAGCATTACGTACATTTTGGGGTGACGGAATTGTTATCAGTTAAAGTTACAAAACTAGATCACATGAGTGCATGTTCAATTCTTCCAAATATGAAATATATTTTCGCCGAATCAGTCTTTCTTTTAATTGAAGATGCATTGGCACGCTGAACGTTTTGCACTAATTTATTCAGAAAAATTATGCTTTTGTAAAATACGGACATGTATTAGTGTATCACGATTTCTACTTAGCAATCAAATACCAATAAAACTGAAAATAAAAAGGCTTGCTTCTGTTAATGCTTTCTATCTTCAGTAAATTGAAAGTGATTAAACATGTGGTATAACAATGTTTTTGTTGTAACAGGACAAGAGGCGGATTTTGCTTTATATTGTTGCGCCACTGTTCTGTTCCTGCTCATTTTTCTTAAATAGTCGTGGTCTGTTTCATTCCAAACTTTTCTTCGTACATCACTCGAACAAATTGGACTCATTTCGAGGGCGGTGAAACATGTATACTGATCGGTCCACAGACGAATTTAAAATGACAGTTAGCAAATGCCTTTCGGGTGAGTCGCGAATCAGCTCATGAGTACCATTTTACACATTGCACTCAGTATGTTCTGCTTAGGTAATTCCCTTATTGTATTCTGCCTAAATACAATTTAAATTGTTTGAAAAATATATAGTTGGTGGTGGCAGGTTTGAAAATTAAAGTTATCTCCTCCCACAAAGCCCTCACCCTTTCTACTCCAGCAGAGAACGAAGGAGAGAAGACGAGGAGGGGCTCGCCTTCTCTCCCACATTTTCTCGAAAGAGTAGAATGCTTTGTGGAAGGAGGTTAGCTTGGTCTTTCAACCTGTCACCGACTACGGCAGTGACATATATAGCGTGTTTCAGGCTAACTCGTTCCAAGATGTAATAAAATACTGAGCTGGTTCGGCACACATGGCATGTCCAGCCAACGCAGTATTGATCAGTCTTATTGAGCAAGTCAAGATATTTTTTTTTTATTTTGACCAAATTGACTTTTTAACAGAGGTTAATTAGAACACTCCTTAAATATTAGTTTGTGATCAAACCATCCGTGGGAGGAACATCCCATGTGGTTTTCATTAAAGTAGCATTTTGTGTCTTATTTCTTTCGAAGTTCAAGAAAGTGCGCAAGGTTTTAAAACAGTTTCACATGACTACCCACTAGCGAACTGCGATGTTTGTGCCCATAGTAACGTATGACATTTCCAAATTTCTCACTTTTTTTAAGGTTTAAAAAATTAGACACACAAAGGGTATACATTGATGGAAACATTACCATAGGATGCTACCCAACTTGCTCTATAACGTTTGTATTGGAGTTTGTGCACAAATTAATATTTAGTAAGTTAGCGAATTAATTTCTGTTAATTTGCCACATTGGTACATTGCAGACAATATTTAGACTTGCTAAGTAGGTCTGAAGAATACTACATTAGACTGCATATGCAATGGAATGTTCTTATGTAAAACACCAAAGAAGTTACTAGCATGTTGTGTTCAGCACTCCCCTGTATGAGTAAAATGCAAAAAGTGCTGATATGGTGTCATGTATACGCTAGTTGTGTTATGTACAACGTCATAAGTACATGCTACTGCTAAGCTCAGTCTATGTGCATATGTCTTTGCTAGTTTCACAGAAGCTCACTTGTGACCACTTCATACTTTATTACAACCCTAGATACTTCCAGACCAGCAGAGCAAGCTTTCACTATGTTTCTTCCATGTTGTGAACTTGGTGCTTTTAGTATTCCAGTTCTAGCATTTTGTTACATTTAGGCTCAATCTTGTTTTTAGAAAATTCCAGCATTTCAATTTTTATGAATTTCTAGATTAATATCACGTATCATCTTCAACGCTTTTATTTCTATGATAAAGTTACTTCGCCCAGATAAATCCAAACAAATAGAAAGGACTTCGGGCCATGTCAAAGTGCGTGGTATTTACCCCACGGTATTCACCTTCATCACATTAATTAATTGAGCTTCATTCATTCTACATAGTCTAATATTGAATTGTTTATTGATACTTTCTTTCTTCTAGAGAGTTCTCAAAACGCACACACAAAAATTAACAGCAAGCATAACAACAGAAAGGCCCATCTTATTGCAAAAAAAAAACCTCTATATAGCTGGTATGTTCTACACGTCAGGTCGGTTTACAGAAATCCGATAGCAATTTTCAAAGAATCATGTGATCATTTTTTACGGAGCCTTGCCTGTGTTCCTCCGTCCTATATGCCATACAGATGAGGAAGGACGTGCTGTTACTTAAGTTGCGTTTCGCAAATCTCTCCGATATGTGCCTGCCCTTGTATCTCCCATAGTTCAAGTGCTACGTATCAATACAAGACGTAGAATGTTTGTAAGGTAATCAAGACTCGCTTCGTTGTTGTATATTAAACTTTGACCAGATTATTTGCATGGGACTTGCTCGTTTTCTTCTGCCACGCATGCGGGTGACGAAGGACTCTCGTTGCTCGAGACTAGGGGTCTCCAAAACCTGGCCTGCGAGTCAAATGCGAACCGCAGAGGTCTTGTAACCGGCCCGTGGCTGCCCGTGGTCCTTCCAGTGAAGAACCGCGGACAGCCACTACCGGATTTGACCCGCGGACCGGGGATTGCTGAAAGCGGGCAACGCACAGCGGGTTTGCTGTAGGCATGCCAAGGTTTTGCTGAAAGCGGGCCCGTGGCCCGCTTCCAGCAAGCTTTCTGTTACCGGGAAGCAAAATATAATCTCGGCGTCGCCATGAGCACCAAAGGTGTAAACGAAGACAAAAAGCCACAACAACATTATACACTAACAAAAGTGTTTCAGTAATTCGGGATCTGACATTATTATATTCATTAGACATTGTCATCGCCAGCATTACATTTCGTAGATCGCTGTTTTAAATCTGAGTTATTAAGTATGTTAAAATTCCCTTTCGTTTTAATTATGCTTAGGGTCCCGTGTCCTACCTATTGCATGACCCCATTGTCAGCTTTAGTTCTATTATTCTCTTTAATCTCTGTGTGAACATGCCATATTTTTTACTTCGACTTGAACCTGGTCAATGTTCGGGGTCTCGATTATAGTGTAGTGACATAATTAGCTAGTTGTTGGTTTTCAAAAAATAAAGTGTATATATTCATGCAGCTTAAATTCTTCTTTTTTTTTTTTTATTTCGCTCTAATTTTTTTAATTTTTATGCTCATCTAAAATTATTTACTTGTTTTTTTTTGCTTCTTTATATTGGCTTATTTATTCTCCGGCCCTCGAGGCAGTGACAGATTCGCGATCCCAGCCCTTTAGCCAAAAATCTTGGAGACGCCTGCTGTAGACGTTCACGCAGTGATTTCCCTACACACTCCCT